TTTCCATTTTTGTCATAGGGTGCTGTATGGCCTCCCATTGCTGCTGCCTCCACCGCCACACTGTGGCTCCACACTCTGGTTTTGGCCCCGTGACTGCCCAAATGAGTGAAGTGTGCGGTGATTCTAAGATCGACGGCACTCATCTGCATGTCATACTGACTGTCAGTATTATTTCTCTTCCCCAGCAGACTCCAAGGGCATTTAAATTAAAGGTACAGTGTTCTGCACTAATATAAAGGCTCTCTGAAGCCTAGAAACACCCTTTTATAAGTTAAATTCGCAGCGAATATATTCGACTCGAATCGAAATTTTTTCACGAATTCGCTGAATCAGTCGAATCGAATTTTTGAATAATTCGCTCATCTCTAATGATAATGTCTAACTATGCCTCTTTATGCTGTGCACTCATGTTGTCTACACTTCTGTGTCCCTCCTTCCCTAGTTCTAAAGTTAGGAGATATGGCAGCCATAGTCAGAGCCTGCATTTGATTTGTACTATTGTACTGACAGTTATTGTTAGGGGTTATTGCTCTGGGGGTTATGGCTTGCCATGACACTTGCCGATAGATATTACTGGGGGTTATTGATTCCTGACACCAATTCTAGAGGTTATCATTGCTGGCCCTGACACATGCTGGGGTTATCATTGCTGGCCCTGACACATGCTGGGGTTATCATTGCTGGCCCTGACACCAATTCTGGAGGTTATCATTGCTGGCCCTGACACCAATTCTGGAGGTTATCATTGCTAGCACTGACACCAATGCAGGAGGTTATCATTGCTTGCACTGACACCAATGTTGGGGGTTAATGTTGCTGCTAATGACACAAACAATAAGGTATATTTTATGCCCACAATCTCTTCAGAGTACCCCCCAGGCCCTATTTTTTTTCCTAAACCATAAAGCAAATGTGGAAAGGTGGCACACTATAAGCCTTACACGTTGAAGCAACACTTACTCTGTTGATCATGCCAACATTTTTCCATGAAGTGGGTGACGTGCTATGCGCTCTACATTTTTCTTCTCAATCCCTTCATGGCAGCTGGAATGTGTAAGTCCTAATACTTTTAAAATGTTGGCAACTATGGTTTATTTTTACACCTGCTGACACCAATGATGGAACTAAATTCTACATTTGTTGACCAGCAATATAGGAAACACTGTTGCATACGTATGACCACTGCACTCACTGTACTTAAAAGGGGCAAGAAACACAAGCACAGGATGTCATCAGTAAAATCAAAGGTTTTAATTGACAATAAAAAGCAAATATCCAATTACACTTCAAACTGGCAGTATCAGCATGTCATAGTAGTATATATTCCTCCTTATCCAGTTGCATGTTAGCAGAAGCAGCAGCAAATAGTCATATTAACCCCACTCAGACCAATGCAGGCAGCAAAATGGGAGCAGATGGAGCTGTATTCTACAGATTAGTGCTGGCTGTCTTTCTGGGACAAACTCTGCACTGGCATGCTGGAATCAGCTAGCAATCTCAGAAAGCTGCAAGAAAGACACAGAGAGCACATGGGTGTGCAGTGTGGGGGGGGGGGGTTACGCAATGTGTTTCCGAGCTATCTGCCCCTTTCTCAAGTCCAGGGGCGGACTGACAACTCATGGGCCCCTGGGCAATAGGGGATCATGGGGCCCCTGTGTCCTTGCCCAAACTCAAAAATGCATATGAAAAAGGTACCAGGGGCATCTCATGGGGCCCCTACTGACCCCGGGCCCTCGGGCAGTGCCCGAGTTTCCAAATGGTCAGTCCGCCCTGCTCAAGTCAGTGACAAGGAGAGGTATAAATATGCAATACACTTTGTACAAAAAGCAGAATAAAAGCCTCAGCACAACTCTGTATGGACATATAAATTGATAATAAACAGAAAGAAATATCTATGCATCAGATAGCATAATCCTATTATGGAGTGATACAACTTCATATAAAGCAATATATGTAAGGACTAACAGCTATAAGTAGTAAACAAAAAAAGGAGGATATATAAAACAATATAAAGAAAAGGGTATTATAGAACACTCTAGGTCTATATAAAATGATTACTGTATATGATATTAGAAAAATATACCAGAAAAGATGTAAAATGTAAATATGTATACAGAAAGTTACTTGAGGAGATTGTAGTTGTATTGGTGCACTTGCCACAGAAACAATTGAGTAATTGTATGTTAGTACAAATAAAAAAAGTACCACAAACAGTACTCAATTGTTTCTGTAGAAAGTTACTGAAACCTCCAGAGACTTCTGGGGCACAATTATGAGGATATCAGAAGACATACTTTGAACATGACCAGTAGAGGAAGTATGTAGCAAAAGTAAATATACATGAACTTGTAGCAGGTTTTAGACATTCAAGTATTAAAAAGAGCCCTTACTAGAAGTTAAAAGAGCTTGTTAAATCCCCTCAGCATTTGTCCCCATTAAAATCTGTGCTGGGGTTTACACATTAAATGTAACTGCTACCTATAGCACCACCCTGGTAGAAGCCCAAATTATGGTGGTACCTATGGGAGGGGGGACATGGCAACACTGAAACCACAGCGCCTTCTCTTTTCTGCAACCCACCTCTTAGTTCAGCCCTTTGCCTTCTCTGGTCCCTCTGTACTGTGAAATAACTGAGCCCACAATCTCCTGCAGCCACTAGCCAGCAGCTTGTGTTGTTGATGATGGCCATTGGAGAGAGTGTCTCTTGGAGAAAAGTTAACAGCTGCCAGCTTGTACCGTGATCAGTTTCTGTTTTTCCAAATTGCAGTGCTGCAATTCAGCCATCATCATTCATACAAGCCACCATCTAATTTGGAGGAGATGATTACAGTAATAGATATCATCAAATCATGGGACCATAGAAGAAATTAAAAAATTGCCCTGGTCCTTAAGGATATATACAGCCAGGTCCATAAATATTCGAACATCGACACAATTCTAGCATTTTTGGCTCTATACACCACCACAATGGATTTGAAATGAAACGAACAAGATGTGCTTTAACTGCAGACCGTCAGCTTTAATTTGAGGGTATTTACATTCAAATCAGGTGAATGGTGTAGGAATTACAGCAGTTTGCATATGTGCCTCCCACTTGTTAAGGGACCTAAAGTAATGGGACAATTGGCTTCTCAGCTGTTCCATGGCCAGTTGTGTGTTATTCCCTCATTATCCCAAATACAATGAGCAGATAAAAGGTCCAGAGTTCATTTCAAGTGTGCTATTTGCATTTGGAATCTGTTGCTGTCAACTCTCATGATGAGGTCCAAAAAGCTGTCACTATCAGTGAAGCAAGCCATCATTAGGCTGAAAAAACAAAACAAACCCATCAGAGAGATAGCAAAAAACATTAGGCGTGGCCAAAACAACTGTTTGGAACATTCTTAAAAAGAAGGAACGCACCGGTGAGCTCAGCAACACCAAAAGACCTGGAAGACCACGGAAAACAACTGTGGTGGATGACCGAAGAATTCCTTCCCTGGTGAAGAAAACATCCTTCACAACAGTTGGCCAGATCAAGAACACTCTCCAGGAGGTAGGTGTATGTGTGCCAAAGTCAACAATAAAGAGAAGACTTCACCAGAGTGAATACAGAGGGTTCACCACAAGATGTAAACCATTGGTGAGCCTCAAAAACAGGAAGGCCAGATTAGAGTTTGCCAAACGACATCTAAAAAAGCCTTCACAGTTCTGGAACATTCTATGGACAGATGAGACCAAGATCAACTTGTACCAGAGTGATGGGAAGAGAAGAGTATGGAGAAGGAAAGGAACTGCTCATGATCCTAAGCATACCACCTCATCAGTGAAGCATGGTGGTGGTAGTGTCATGGCGTGCGCATGTATGGCTGCCAATGGAACTGGTTCTCTTGTATTTATTGATGATGTGACTGCTGACAAAAGCAGCAGGATGAATTCTGAAGTGTTTCGGGCAATATTATCTGCTACTATTCAGCCAAATGCTTCAGAACTCATTGGACTCCCGCTTCACAGTGCAGATGGACAATGGCCCAAAGCATACTGCAAAAGCAACCAAAGAGTATTTTAAGGGAAAGAAGTGGAATGTTATGCAATGGCCAAGTCAATCACCTGACCTGAATCCGATTTGAGCATGCATTTCACTTGGCCTGGCAGAGCATCACCAGGGATGAAACCCAGCGTCTGGTGATGTCTATGCGTTCCAGACTTCAGGCTGTAATTGACTGCAAAGGATTTGCAACCAAGTATTAAAAAGTGAAAGTTTGATTTTATGATTATTATTCTGTCCCATTACTTTTGGTCCCTTAACAAGTGGGAGGCACATATGCAAACTGTTGTAATTCCTACACCGTTCACCTGATTTGGATGTAAATGCCCTCAAATTAAAGCTGACAGTCTGCAGTTAAAGCACATCTTGTTTGTTTCATTTCAAATCCATTGTGGTGGTGTATAGAGCCAAAAATGTTAGAATTGTGTCGATGTCCCAATATTTATGGACCTGACTGTAGTTGTGAGAGTGGTTACTTGACAGCCTTTCAGATTTGAATCTCTAATGTAAGCACACAGCAGATGCCCTGGAAGCAATATAAGTTAGGCTGCCTGACAGAAAGACTTTAATTCTTTTGCTGTGAAATTTGAATATAAATGGCTCCACAGTCCCTGCAGCTACTGAGTTAGGTGAGAGTTTGTTTTAAAGCTCTCACCTAAGGAATATTCATATACTTGAATGTCTATATCCTGACCATGCAAGAAGAAACAGGAGCAATGCTGAAAGCAATTTACAGCACACACTGATTTTGGTAGCATAATTATTACTGTGGAATGTATGCTCTTTTGTTAATGAACATTAATTGTTAACAGACTGTTATGAGTAAAGTTCTGCTTTAAGAGATCATTGGAAAACGTGTTTACACATCCGTTTTTGTATATAACTTCTTATCTCCTGGTTTCTTATACTATATAATAATGGGTTGATAAATGGGGTAAGTATAGTATACAGTAAGGATATTACTTTGACATCATCAAGGTTGCTTTCTCCAGCTGGAACCATATATATGGCTATTAATGTTCCATAATATGTAAAGACGGTAATCAAATGGGAACTGCAAGTGGAAAAAGCTTTTTTTTCTTCCTGTTGAGGAAGTAATTTTGAAAATGGTGTAAAATATACACATGTAAGATATACAGATTAATACAAAGGGCAGAAAGATGACCAATATGGCAAAAGCAAAGTCCTCCCACATTACAAATGTGACATCTGAAGATGAAATATGTAGGATAGGAGCAATATCACAGAAGAAATGGTTAATGATGTTGGAACCACAGAACCTCAGCTGGAACAAAAAAGCTATTTCACTTGGAATTAGAATAAAACCAGTAGCCCAGGAGAAGAAGATCAAGCTGAAACACATCCTATAGTCCATCAATGCAGAATAGCGCAGTGGCTGACAAATGGCTAAATACCGATCAAATGACATTGTTGTAAGAATTAAAGACTGGGTGAAAAGTGCAAGGCTATGAAAATAGTATTGAATAAAACAGCCCTGGAGAGTTACCATACCACCTTCTTGTAATATGATATATAACATGTTTGGTATAATGTTGGTGGTAAATAACAGGTCTGCCAAAGCCAAATGTTTAAGAAAAATGTACATGGGGACATGAAGGAGTTGATTTGCAGACACCAAAAAGATAATGAGTATATTTCCAAATAAAATGGCAATATAAACCAGAAGAACAAAGTTGAACAGTAGAATGTTAATGATGTAGGTATTTTCAAAACCACGGAGCAGAAACTTTGTGACTGCAGTCTCGTTTAGTTTACACATTCTTGAAAGAAAAAGAAGATACTATTAAACTGAAAAAGATGGATGAATAAGACTGCACATTTGAACTGTCAAATTACTAGACTAAAAAAACTGTTTTCTAAAAAAAATTACAAATTATCCAACATATTGAAATAAAATGTACCAATTACTGAAAGGATGGGGTTCACAATTTCTACAGGTTCATAATTCACAACAAGTTTCTGTACAGCCGTAGTTTTTAATGTATGTCTTTGTAAAAGTGTTCCCCTAGTCATTTCAATAACATTCTTCGAAGTTGAGTTGACAGAAGTTCACACTGCTCATTTTGATTCTAACAAACCCACAGGAATAACTGGTGATACTCATGGCAGACATACTTGAAGTGGACCTAGAAGAAGACATATTTTTTCATTTTACATGTACAAGTAAATACTTGTGAAGTAATGTGTAAGTGTAATACTTCCAGGTATTTAATACCTCTTACAATACCATCCCTGTCAATACCTTAATTTGCTGTTTTCATTAGAGGAACAACACCATCTTTATTCAGTCATCATCTAGGCCCAGTATTTACCGACTCAGTATTTAAATCCTTGTGCCTGGGCAGCTATTGGCTCTGTTTAAGTATTCAAAATGTATCAGCTCTTGTTGCAGCCTCTCACCTTGAAAATTGATTAAAAGTTACAATGTTGTAGTTTGATCCCATTTAACATGGGGCAGACTCTGCTGATCCCCTACTTATGCAGGACAGACATGGACACAGCCCGCTCTGCTCCATGGGCAGTTGGATGTAAATGGACCAGCTGTCTGTTTACACCCAACTTCCCTCAGATCTGATCAGCCCAGATGGTGGGGAACGGATTCCCTTTCGTTTGTTCTTAGCAGATTGGGTTTGACTGGAGGTAGGTGGGTGTAAATGGGCACAAGTCAGTTTTCATCTGCCACTCCTTAGAATATGCATTATACATTTATAAAAAGACCCCATTGTGTTTCTGAAATTCATAGTTGGACTTATTAACTTTTATTATAATGTTTGCAGATAACATTTCATCATAAGTTGCATGTAAAACATTTTGCCACATTTATAAACAAAATTTCCATTCAGATAGGGCTCTACATTAACTGAGTTACTCATCATTATCCAAAATATACCATTACCATTTCCATTTCTTTATAGGGAAGTCTAGGTTTATCTATAACATGGACAGTGCTGGAGCAACTTCTCATGAGATTCAAGATTATCAAGATCTTACTGGAAGGCCGTGGCATCACCATTGCCTAGGCACTGTAGGAGGAAGCTGGGGTGTAAAGTAGATATATTTTTTACATTTCTCTCCTCAGACATGCTTCTAAATGAATAGGCTGACTTAGCATTTTGGTTGGGACTTAAGAAGCTTATTTACAAAAGGTAAAAATGGCACGTTTGCTGGGGTTTGTTCTTTGGTTATAATCATTCCTTCAACCTTACAATGTATATGGAACAGCGTGAATACAGGCTATAAATATTTACGACTGCATACCTGGATTAACTTCATGATATATCTGATTGACTTACAGCTTTGAGAATATAGCTACCCCATACGTTAAACGACGGAGGTTCAGTTATCCTGCAAAATTCTTATGTCCAACCCTATATTAAAAGAAAAAAGATAGTGTTATTGTAAACAATTTATCAATTATAGTGAAGTCTAAAATAACATGTCAAGAGACCACATGGCCCCTTTATTTACAAAGCTCCGTAGCTCAAGCTAAAATATACACACAAATTAGTGCAGTGAGTTATCCCTTTATCCCCTCAATGCATCCATCTAAGGCAGGGTTTCTCAACCAGGGTTCCATGAAACCCTAGGCTTCCTCCAGAGGTTGCTAGGGGTCCCTCAGGCAATAAGCAATTTCTACCCTTCATATAATTTCCTACTGACACCAATTATCTTTTTATCTATCTGTAAGGGGGGAATTCTTCCCAGTGATCACTAATGTAAGGAGCATTCTTCCCACTGACCATTACACTAATGTACTGTGAGCTGTAAATATAATTAATAGCAGTGGTTCTCTGAAGCCAAAAAAGTATTACAATGGTTCCTCCATGTTAAAAAGGGTGAAAAAGGATGATCTAAGGTTTCAGTCAGAGACAATATTGCCTCTAAGGACATAGAGTAACTACTGCTGTGCTCTCTATTTAAACAAACCTAAAGGGCTCTGGGAATTCCTTGTCATGTTTTTTTTAACAAAAATGGTATATATATAGCTAGAACAAGTATAAGATGTTAGGGTAAAATGTAATAACTAATAAAAGAAATACAAAAAAAAAAAAAAAAAAAAAATCAACCCAAAAACCATATAGTTTCTTTTACCACAAATCCACCTGCTTTTCCTTGCTAGCTTAAACACAAACGTAAACCATCATTAATCAGCCCTGAAATACATCCATCTATACTTGATCCTATTCATAAAAGTTGACATTTAATTACATTAAACAGTGGGATACTCACAGTTTATTGTTTGTATATTTATGTTTAGGCTGTAGGCATTCAATATGTACTTACTACCTGGGAAAATTGATGCTTCAAATACCAAGGACCTTTGAAAGGTTTTGTTTGAACCTTTTATGATGTCATAATGTAGTACTGTTCATGACTTTTATATACTCTTAGATGGAACCAATTATTCTAGACCCTATGTTCATTGACCCATAATAATTCCCTTAAGATATTCTAATGATCATAACAGATGAACAATAACAAATAGTGTAATTAAATGTGCATTGCTGGTAAATATAACACATCTCCTGTTCAATGCACCATGTGCCACGAGGGAGGAAAAGCAATTAAGCTCGATTAATCCTATTCAAATTCTTTTTTTTCACTTTGCGATCATTCTTCAAAATGATGCTATAGTACAGTGCCTTGAAAAAGTATTCATACTTGAAATTTTCCACATTTTGTCATGTTACAACCAAAAACATAAATGTATTTTATTAGGATTTTATGTGATAGACCAACAAAAAGTGGCACATAATTGTGAAGTGGAAGGAAAATGATAAATGGTTTTCAACATTTTTTACAAATAAATATCTGAAAAGTGTGGTGTGTTTTTGTATTCAGCCCAGCTGAGTCAATACTGCTGCAATTCCAGCTGCAAGTCTTTTTGGGGATGTCTCTACTACAGCTTTGCACATCTAGGGAGTTAAATTTTTGCCCATTCTTCTTTGCAAAATAGCTCAAGCTGTCAGATTGGATGGAGAACGTCTGTGAACAGCAATTTCAAGTCTTGCCACAGATTGTCAATTGGATTTAGGTCTGGACTTTGACTGGGCCATAATAACACATGAATATGTTTTGATCTAAACCATTCCATTGTAGCTCTGGGTGTATGTTGAGGGTTGTTGTCCTGCTGGAAGGTGAACCTCCGCCCCAGTCTCAAGTCTTTAGCAGATTCTAACAGGTTTTCTTCTAAGATTGCCTCCTATTTGGCTCCATCCATCTTCCCATCAACTCTGACCAGCTTCCCTGTCTCTGCTGAAGAAAAACATCCCCATAACATGATGCTGCCACTACCAGATTTCACGGTGGGAATGGTGTGTTCAGGGTGATATGCAGTGTTAGTTTTTCACGTTTATACACGTTTTTGCCACATTTAGCGTTTTTCTGCTGCCAGGAAAGCTAAACATCTAGGGGAGTTCATGTGTACATGAGGCCTAAGGAAGGTTGGATTCTCGACAGACTTTCCATACCTCTGTGCATAAGGTAATTGTCAGGCGTGCATTGTCAAGCAGGCGTGTATGCTCAAAAATTGCATGCATGCTCAGCACTGGTTTTGGCGCCTAGTGGCCTACATAAATTGAAAGCACTGCAGAAAGAGGTTGCTGAGTGTTCTTCAGCTTGTTCCTGTTTACCTAAGACCTGACCTACTGATTCTGCCTCACTGTTTATGACCTGGCTTGCCTTCTGGACACTGCTACCGCCTTCTGCCTTGTAACAGGTTGGCTCGGCTTTTACTGATACCAGCTTGTTTCCTGGACTTGTCTTTGCTTCTTGATATGATACCACCCTGCCCAGTTGTTACTGTCCTCAGCTTGTTTCCTGGACATTATTTGGCTCTTCATCCAGTGCAACATTGTTCCTATGCCTGGTTCTTGTCTGGAGATTTTCATCTCCTAGTTCTACACATCTGGCTGCAACAGATCCAGCTCAGCTTGTAAACTCTGATGCTCATGCCACTCTGTGCCCTCACATTCTGTCACCACTTTCTGGAGTGCTGGGCAGACGGTGCAAGAGGATCCCCCTCATTTACTCAGTCCCTGCCAAGTACATGGTAGTACAGTGATGAGTTATGAACTTCAAGTTCCAACTTTATTCAAGCAGTTCATATGTCACCATGTCATGCATGATTTTATCAGTCTTTAGTGCGTATGTATCATACTTTTGCACACATGCCCCGATAGCAAGGTTTAACCGAACGTCAGTGTGAACGATGGATTGTAAATGTGAACATACACAAACAAATAATATTTAATGCTACAATGAACTCTGGCCATAAAAGTTTATAAGCAACCTTGTTGTGGGTCATATGTGTGCTATGTTTGTAATTGACCTTGAGATCACAGTACACCACAGTCTTGGATTATGAATTTTGATGAAAGCTTCTTGAGATTGAATATTTATGGAGTACCATATTAGCAGACCACTGATTACTCTCTATATTACATAGTGAGCCAAAGTGAAAAAGTCCATCCAGTTCTACCAATATAAGACAAAAAATAGAAAACCTCCACATACACAATCCTATAGCCAAAGTTGATCCAGAAAAAGGCCAAAAAAAAAAAAATAAAGCATGGTCCAATTTGCTCCAGCGGGGGGTAAAAAATGCTTCCTGATCCCTCAAGAGACAATAGGATATTCCCTAGATCACGGGTGTCAAACTGATGGCCCTCCAGCTGCTGCCAAACTACAAGTCCCATGAGGCATTGCAAGACTGACAGTTACAAGCATGACTCCCAAAGGCAGATGCATGATGGGGAG